TATGTATTCTTTATATTATTTACTTTCAGAATTCCATTTAAATATATTCTTTATATTGTTTTAGTCATAAAATGTCAAATGGTTTTCGTCATTTGTTCTAGCTGTTATTATATATGTATATATATAAGTTTACTTGAATGAGTATACATAAGTTCATATGAATGGCTCTTTAAGAAGCCTAGTAGCATTGTGGCATCAGCACTGAACTTCTAAATACAAAGTCACTAGTTTGAATCCACTAGCTGCTCTGTTCATAGCAAATATCTTGTTTTTCACTTGTTCATAGAAAGTACCTTTTTTCAATAACACAAATCCAGGTAAACATGGATCTCCCCAGATAGAATACAAAGAAATCAAAATTACTACATCTGTTGGAAGAGATGATGGAGCAGCTCGATATCAGAAGCTAAAATTAGGCAAGGGGTTGACTATGGAACAGACCATCAATTTCTCATTTGTAAGTTCAGGTTGAAGGTAAAGAAAACCAGGACAAGCCAACGAGAGGCAACATATGACCTTGACTCTATCCCACTTGAATTTTAAGAACATCTCAGGAAAAGATTAGCTGTATTGAACACTAATGACAGAAGACCTGATGAGCTGAGGGATGACATCAAGAATATTATCCATAATGAAAGCAAATATTATTAAAAAGAAAGAGAGGATCAAAGTGGATGTCAGAACAGAAATGGAAGAAATGATGAAGTCAGAAACAAACAGAACACTTCAAAGGACAGGTCAAGGAGACATTCAAACATTATAATAAAATGTGCTAAGATGTATAGATAGAAAATAAAAGGGAAGAACATACTCCAAATATATTAAAAAAAAACATTTTATAGAGGGCTCTTACAGCTCTTGTAACAATCCATATATCAATTGTGTCAAGCACATTTGTACATATGTTGACATCATTATTTTCTAGACACTTACTTTTATTGAACCCCTGGTGACTGCTCCTTTTCCCCACTCCCCTCCTTCCCCACCCCTCATCCTCTTGGCCCCTTGATAAATTTTTATTATTTTCATAACTTACACCAACCACTGTCTACCTTCCCCACAGTTTCTGTTGTTCTTCTCCCTGGTGAGGGGGATACGGTTATGTGTCGCTCATCTCGATCGGTTCCTCCTTCCTCTCCACCTTCTCCCACCTTCCTCCACTTTCTCCCTTCCCTCCTGGTATTGCTACTCCCATTCCTGTTCCTGGATTCCCTGTGTTGTGAGCTCTTATATCTTATCTGTATCTGCGCACATGCTTCGGTGTAGCCCGCAGTGAAAGGCGGTACTAGGATCATGATGGTGAGTGTGTGGGGTGGGGGAGTGAGGAGGCCTCAAGGAACCACAGGAATATTGTGTTTCATTGGTGCTTTACTGCACCCTGATTGACTTATTCCTCTGTGAGGGGATGTCACGTTGTCTACAGATGGTCTTTGGGTCTCTGCTCTGACCCCCCTCATTTTCAACAATATGGTTTGTTTGGGGTCTTCTGTTGCCTGTTACCCAATCTTGTCGACACCCCATGATTTCACAGGCTGGTGTGTTTCTTCCATGTGGGATTGTTGTTTCTCTGCTAGATGGCTGCTTATTTAACTTTAAGCCTTTAAGATTCCAGATGCCATATGTTTTGATAGCCGGCACCATCCGCTTTCTTCAACACATTTGCTTATGCACCCATTTTGTCTTCAACGATTGTGCTGGGAGGTTGAGCATCACAGAACACCATGTTAGAACAAAGTGTTCTTTCATTGAGGGAGAAAATGAACAGAGGCCCGAAGTCTGTCAACAACCTCAGTGTGTTGCCATATAAATATATGTTCATGGGTCAATGCCTCTATTTTTACGAATTAATGTGTTAACATATGTACACACCTATGGTTATACCTCTATCCATATCTTTGCTTCATAGATTGTTCCTCTGTTTCCTTTCAGCTTCCTACTGCCCCACCATCATGCCCACACTACTTGCTTCTCTTAGTAATTCCTCTCAGCTAGATTACTGTTGCTCCAACACCCCCAGAATCTCTGTTCTCATTGCTGTTGACTTTAATTCCCTAGCTGTTCACTGTCTATGGTGTTGTTTGCTCACCATTCCCCTCCCCCACCTACTTCTCCTCCTGGTCCCTCTGGGACCATTGGTCCGGTTGCTTTCTCTTCAAGCTTCCTTCTGATGCCTATCTCATACAAGTAGACAACCCAACAACCACAGAGACCAAATAAAAAAGAAAACAAAAGATTTTAAAAAGAAAAAGAAAACAAACAACAATAACAACAAAAATACATAATTACAGGTCTGTCC